TTAATGAAATCAGTGTAGGGAAGCCTCCTGACCGGATCCATGACAGGTGCATCATTTTTGGCGCAGCTGGGCCCTCGCAGCGCCGGGACCACCTCTCTGTGGGCTTCTCCCACTTCTGCTCTGTCCTAGCCTCTCACCCTCTCTACCCCACTGGAGGACAGCAGCTGGGAATTCCTTGGGCATCTTGCTGCTTTCTCTCTCCTATATTCATTTTAGGGAAAACAAGAGTCGCCTCACTTTCTCAACGTGTATCTCAGAAGTTATCACATCTTGGTTATTACACTTGGAAGGTTCTCTCAAAGGATCCCCTTATCTCCCAAATCCTGGTCTCATTCTCTCTCACCTGCAAGATCCTAAGAGTTGGCCCACACATCGGCTCTCCCTTCTCTCACACTGCCATCTTTTACATTTCCTGTTTCTCAGAAGGTCACTTGTAGCTCTTGATTCAAATTTTTTCAGTAATCTTTCCATCCTCAATAAGTGTTGAATTTTTCTGTGACTTTTCAAAAAAGAGAGAGAATTCCTTGGTTGCCCAGTGATTAGGACTCTGCGCTTTCACTGGCCTGGATTCAATTCCTAGTTGGGGATTTAAGATCCTACACGCTATGTCATGCAACCAAATTTAAAAAAGAGAGAGAGAGAGAGAGAGAGAGAAGAGCCTTCCTGACGATAGTTACTAGAATTTTTGAAAAGGCAAGAAGGGTAGCCTTTTCATTTATGAGTCTGAAACTGAGCAGATCTGACTTCCCTAAAATTGTCTGTCCTTTGCAAATTATATATAAATTGTTGGCTATTTTTAAAAAGCCTGAGTAGAGCAGAACATTTGGGAGGCTTCTGAAATACTCTTTTGACTATCAGTATCTTCAAAATCTAGCTAAAAATGTTCTTTCTTTGATAGAAGACTTCTGGGAAAGGCATTTCTGTACTCAGTCTTTTTTAGTAGTGGCCAGTAACAGCTAATGTTCCTATCATTGCCCTGTATGAATGTGTATTTTATTATAGAATAGTGGTTGTATGTAGGAGCGTTAGGGATAGACGGCTTAAGTTTAAATCTCAGTTTCTACTCTGTGACTATGAATGAGTTACTTAATGTCTCTGCCTTCGCCTCATAACTCATAAAATAGGGACACGGTTATCATTTACCATAGGATATGTCAAGGACTGTATTGATGGTGGCTCAGATGCTAAAGAGTCCACCTGCAATGCAGGAGACCTGGGTTCGATCCTTGGGTAGAGAAGATCCCCTGGAGAAGGGAATGGCAATCAGCCTAGTATTCTTGCCTGGAGAATCCTATGGACAGAGGAGCCTGACAGGCTATAGTCCATGGGGTTGCATAGAGTCAGACATGACTGAACAACTAACATGTTAAGGATTAAGGGATTCAGCAGTGCACATAGTGCTGAAGATACAGGAAAGATTATTTATTATTGTTATTGTTATATGTTATTATGGTCAGCTCAGTACATTCTTTGGATTTTCAACTAAATCGTTAATCTCCTAAAGCCAAGCCCTTGCATTATTAATCAAAAAAAAAATTAATACAAAATATTTGAGATAATCACTTAAAGACATGAAATATTCTTTTCATACTTTTAAGGCATTTATAATTGATATTTAAGCATCAGTAAATGTTGACATGTTATGAGTTTTAGATGGTATTTTATTTTTTATTTATTACATCTAGTTCAATGTATTATAAATAGAAAGTTATCATAGTCAACAAATAATAGCTGAATACATATAAATTATTCCCCAAAGACACAATTTTGATTTAAAATATAACTTAAATCTACCATAAATCTGTAGTGAAATATGTGGAATGCAAAAGCAGTGTTTACAAAATTAACCTTTTTACTTTATTGTAAAAAGCCTGTGGTGCACTTAGGACAACTATCTTCTCCAAATTCCTCATCAAGTGTCAAGTTTTCTGAGAGTGCTTAATGTTACTTAGACTAAGTGTACATTTCCAAACATTCTCATTATGAGTTAATGCTTTGCAACAGACTTCTGAATGGGGTTACATATTGCTTATGTTGCAAATGAAATATGCTCAAGAGCCAGGAGGTAAGACCTATTGAATAGGTCATGGGACTCTTAATGCTTTCCTCTGCTTCCCTCTCTCTGAATGGAAAATCCATCCCAGTTAGTATCATCCTAATAAAACAATACAGAAATGTTTCACGTTAAGGCTCAGAATTCTAGAATCATATATGAATGGAAAAAAAAAATAAAAGTCAACTCCCTTATTTCATACATGAGAAAACTGAGGCCTATAGCATTCATTTCAATTCAAACTTGTTTTCGAAACATCATCTGTGCCCTTGGGTTACTGACTTTAGTTCTATCACTTGTTTTCATGCTGTTTTATTGACTACAACTCAAAACACCAGTTTGCTCACAATGCCGTGTGTTTGGATATGGTCTTTTCTACATGTGTCCCTCACAAAGACTGTCTGGTCCTGGTTGGGAATTTTCCTTTGTGATACCAAAGCTAGGAGTATTTTTTTAGGAGTGCATTATCCTGAAACATCTGGGACCGGAAAGGAATCTTTATGGTATGTATTTTACAGATATTTTCTTTTTGGATTATTTTTTCTTCAGAGAGAAGTCTCTGTGAATATTTCTGATAAAGCATATTGTTAATTAGCAAATTGTCAAAGACTGCTAGGTTCCATCCCTGTGTGGGCCCATTTAGATGTGTCCCTTGCATGCATGCGGGCTGAGTCACTTCAGTCGTGGCTGACTCTGTGTGACCCTATGGACTGTAGCTGGCCAGGCTCCTCTGTCCGTGGGATTCACTAGGCAAGAATACTGGAGTGGGTTGCCATGCCTTCCTCCAGGGGATCTTCCCAACCCAGGGATCGAACCCAGGTCTCCCATATTGCAGGCTGATTCTTTACCAAGGCACCAGGGAAGGCCCATAAGTCCCTTAATAACTAACGATTCATTTATTCTCCAGTCACACTTATTTACCTACAATTCTGAAGTACACTGCTTTAAAATTTGATACATTCAAGCCAGGAAAACCAGTTTTTTGACTAAATGTATTTAAGGAAGCCTCAACTAGTATTTTAGGGTACTTACCAGAGATACTTATGACTAATCGCTTTAACTTAAAGAAACAGGACTGGTAATAAAACCCCCAACCACACCTTAATTACTTTGGAGCTGAAATTGTCTTCGTGTATGTGTGTGTGTGTATGTGTGTGTTAGTCACTCAGTCTTGTCTGACTTGCGACCCCATGGATTCTATGCAGCCCATCAGGCTCCTCTGTCTACATAATTCTACCTGCAAGAATACTGGAGTGGGGTGCATTCCCTTATCCAGGTGATCTTCTGACCCAGGGATGAAACCATGGTCTCCTGCATTGCAGGCAGATTCTTTACCAGCTGGGCCACCAGGGAAGCCCATACGTCTTCACATGTATCGATGTAAAGTTGTATTTAATAGTCATTTCCCGAACAATATGTTTTTAATTATTCTTCACTGAAGCCTTTGTTCTTTAATTAAACGTACTGAACAGGAGGATTTGGGGACCCTGCGTAGTCGGTAGGTAGGTGGTAGGTAACAAGTTAAATTGTGCTGAAGCAACGTCAAGGTTCAACTAATAATATTTTTACAAAGCCCCTTTATAAATGTTCAGGCTAATGTTAACAATGACGTCGATTCATTAGCATTTCGTTAATTACGAAAAACAATACGAAAATAAAAGGGGAAAGGCAGACTTGGAGGACAGAAAGAGGTGCACCCCATCTCCCTCCACTCCCTCCCTCCCGCCTTTGAAATCTTTCTGGGAGTAGCAGGTTTCTGCAAGTGCCAGGAATCCGGTCTCATTAAAGCGCGGAGCGCTGCAATGCCAGGGCGTTCCCAGCTGGGGACTGCAGGCTGCCTGAAACATGCGAACACCTGGCGTGCTTCTTGAAGGCCCCAGAGACTTCAGTCTCCTTCGGCCGGCTCCAGGGTGTTAGGCAGAGGCTCTGGGCGGTCAGAGGGGTTTCCTGTGTGTCAGCAACTTCACTTTGCCGAAGATAGCCGGCGGAAGAGCCGAGGAACGCTGGCGAGCCAATCGCTTCGCGGCAGCCAGCCCTAGCCCCGACCCTGACCAAGTGCGCCCCGCGTCCTCCGCCGACTCCGGTAGTGGCTCCGGGGCAGAAGCTGAGCGCGCCGGGCCACAGCGAAGACCGGTTCTCCCCGAAGACGGCTCCGGCCCAGGGCGAACTCCCTGGAGAGCGCGGGCAGGCAGCCGGGCGGGCTTCACGGAGGCACGCCCCTCTCCTCCCCGCGGCGCGCGGACTCGCCCGGCGCCCAAACTCCGCCCACCCTCGCGGGGAGCCTGGCTCGCCGTCCGGCCGCCTGCACTCCAGACTGAGCAGGTCTCTAGAAGAGCCTGCGAGATCTGCCCGACTGCCAGCCGGACGAGATCCAGAAGCGCACGAGTCCGCGGCCACGCGCGCTCCGACGGCCCCCAGAAGCTGAGGGCAGCGGGGCGCGGGCCCCAGACCCGAGCTGCTGGCTTGCAAGGTAGGGAGAAGGAAGATGCCCAAACGAAGTTGATCTTCGGGGGAAGGAGGCTGGGGCGCGCCCTCCCCACGCCGGAGCGCAGCGCAGCGAATTTGGCTCAACCTCACTGAGCCCCCCGGCGCGCTCTCCGGCGCGAACCCGCGGTCCCTCGGGAAAGCGCGGTCGGAAAGTTGTAGGCTGCGGTGTCCTGAGCGCCCTGTTGTGTAACCTCGGCGCTGCCGGCCGGACGGGGAAGTTGCTGGTCCACCGGCCAGCCAGGTTAGGTCGCCGCTCGGGGCGGATTTCATGGCCCGCGGCGAACGCGGGGCCGGAGCCGGCGTGGGCGAGCCCCCGCGCGCCCCCTCCCGCAGGGATCCCCGGCTCCCGCTCCCGTCTGCTCGCCCGCCTTTCCGATGCTCGCTGCGCCCCTCATCGCCGCCGCCGCCCTCCTGCCGCCGCTTGTCCCTTGGAGCCGCCGCCTAAGTCGGGGAGGAGAGAATGACCGAGGTGCTGTGGCCGGCGGTCCCCAACGGGACGGACACTGCCTTCCTGGCCGACCCTGGTTCGCCCTGGGGAAACAGCACAGTGACTTCCACCGCCGCCGTCGCCGGCCCGTTCAAATGTGCGCTGACCAAGACAGGCTTCCAATTCTACTATCTGCCAGCTGTCTACATCTTGGTGTTCATCATCGGCTTCCTGGGCAACAGCGTGGCCATCTGGATGTTCGTCTTCCACATGAAGCCGTGGAGCGGCATCTCCGTGTACATGTTCAACTTGGCCCTGGCCGACTTCTTGTACGTGCTGACCCTGCCGGCGCTCATCTTCTACTACTTCAATAAGACCGACTGGATCTTTGGGGATGCCATGTGCAAACTGCAGCGGTTCATCTTCCACGTGAACCTCTATGGCAGCATCTTATTCCTGACCTGCATCAGCGCACACAGGTACAGCGGCGTGGTGTACCCGCTCAAGTCCCTGGGTCGGCTCAAGAAGAAGAACGCGGTCTATATCAGCGTGCTGGTGTGGCTCATCGTGGTGGTGGGCATCTCCCCCATCCTCTTCTACTCTGGCACCGGGATTCGGAAAAACAAAACCGTCACCTGCTATGACACCACCTCAGACGAGTACCTGCGAAGTTATTTCATCTACAGCATGTGCACGACCGTGGCCATGTTCTGCGTCCCCTTGGTGCTGATTTTGGGCTGTTACGGATTAATTGTGAGAGCTCTGATTTACAAAGACCTGGACAATTCGCCTCTGAGGAGGAAATCCATTTATCTGGTGATTATTGTACTGACGGTGTTTGCTGTGTCTTACATCCCTTTCCACGTGATGAAAACAATGAATTTGAGGGCCCGGCTGGATTTTCAGACCCCAGAAATGTGTGCTTTCAATGATAGGGTGTATGCCACTTATCAGGTGACAAGAGGTCTAGCAAGTCTCAACAGTTGTGTGGACCCCATTCTCTATTTCTTGGCAGGAGATACTTTCAGAAGGAGACTCTCCCGAGCCACCAGGAAAGCTTCCAGAAGAAGTGAGGCAAACTCGCAGTGCAGGAGTGAGGACATGACGCTCAACATTCTGTCGGAGTTCAAGCAGAATGGAGATGCGAGCTTGTGAAGATGCAGACATCCCCGAGCACCCACTTTGTAATGTGGTAGGATGCTTCATAGAGCCAAGCGCCTATTTTCCCCTTTCAGTTTCTAGTGAGTTTAGAGAACATTCAAACCAAGAAGGCAGTGAATTAACAAATAAAACAGAAGTGGAAATGCCTACACCCACACTTAGCTTGTTTGGATTTGCTTTCTAACCAGAAGTATGTAACATAAAGTTATACTGCCCTGCTTAAATATTTACTTTCTCTTCTGCCTTTAAAATTTGCAAACTCTTCTCTTTAAAGTGTACCTGAGTACTGAAGCTATTTGGATATTAATATTTTCTCCAAGAAAACTGACCACCTGAAACCTGAGTTTGTGATTTGTCAATATTAATATTTTCTCCAAGAAAGCTGACCACCAGAAACCTGAGTTTGTGATTTGTCTAGTCTTTATTGTCTTTAATAATCTGAGGTAGGAACAAATTGAAACTTCACATTCTTAGATTAGAGTCATAGACCAAAATACTAAAGTCAGTTCATTCAGTAGCAGATGAACAGATTGCTGCCGGGTGTCTTTTTTTGATGCTGTAAGCATAGGTGGTAGCTGGCTGAATTTCTCTGGAGAATTGAATAGAAAAATCAAGTCAATGAATTTACAAGTCTCCCAAGTGATTATCTCACGATAGTTTCTAGAAAACTGCTTACTCTGTGTTGGGTGCTAAATGTTTGTGGATGGAATTATCTGTATATTATCTTACAGGTAAAATGCCTTCAAAATAATCTAAGTGTATGTACTTTGCTTGTAAACACCACAAACTCTGTTAGACTTCCTGTGATGAAGAGCTTTTACTTGCACCACCGCTGTGCACTGCCCAAGGAGTATGTTTGTGTTCCAGTACAAATGCTAACTTCTATCTGTAAAAACAATTTAAAAAATCACAGATAAATTACAGATCAAAGTTGAATAGCTATTAGCAAGTTGAGGGATGTCGGCAGGAGGGAGAGTGGTTGACAGTCATCCATAATGCATAGCCTGCAAGCATATTCTCAAATGGATGAGGGACCAAGAAGGGGGAGATGACATTTTTAGCATAAGGGTTTTAGTTTAAATTAATTATGGTGTAAAAGCTCGCTCTCTCTCTTTTTTTGACTTCCAAATGCTGGAAAACATGGAGTGCAGTGTAACAAGAAGGCAGAATGTGCATGGATTGTGTTAGTAGAATGAGGTGCTATAATGCTTTGCTGGGTCTTACATCCTCACTTTTGAAGGGAAAACTCCAAACATATGGGAAAGGGAAATATGAAGAATTAAATTTAAATACTTGAAGTACCTCAGCACTACAAAGTGAGGTGTAGAAACTACTAATCAGACTAATAATAGTTTAAGCGAATAGTACTGGACAGTGTTTTATATTTTACCTCTGTAATGACAAATCTATTAAATACTTCAATAACTTTCATAATGATTTTCAGTGAATAGTGAATTGCTGCATTTCTGGCCCTTGAAACGGTCAAATTCGAAATATGTAGAATAATGAGTGAGGTGACTGTTTACAACATCAAATAAATAAATCCGATATCAAAGGAATTTCTCATGGTGAAGACACGCCAACAAACCAGCATCAGAGTCTGCAACTGATGGTGGGGAAACTTGTTTGAAAGCACTTTATATGTAGAGCTATTTGGGGCTGCGTCCAAGGTAAGAACCTTAGCACCCTGCGGGACCTGGCAATAAGAAAATCAGAGCTGGACTTCAGTTCTTGCAGCATCTGGATGGATTGCAGATTTGTGAGCCCTGCAGTTTCTTAGACTTTCTCCGACTGCTAAGACCAATGAGTAAAAGCTGAAAAGCTGTGTTTAACCATCCTAAAGAGTGCGACTTTTCCCCATGTTCAGTGTTAGGGCACAGGTTTTATAAAAACCTTTCAGATGTCCTACCTACACCTCATTTTGAGGAAAGAGAAGTGTTAGCTAGGTTCTCATTTGATTAGGATCCTGCAGTGTTGTCTGTTGTGGAACCCTAAAAGGAAAAGACTAAACTATGTCATGAATGTATTACCCCTGTCAAATATCATGTGCAATGAGACATGATTAATACCACTAAATTGGCCAGAGTGGAAATATCAAAGCCCGTGCCATCCTTGAACTCGAAGGCTAATGGTACACATTTCTATAATATTCCTTCACCATTTTATTTACTTTAGTGTTCTTCCTTTTAGGTCTGAAGATGCCCAGCCTGGTTTACAGTATATGTTAGGTACATTGATTCAGCTTCCAGGGAACTTTCTTTTGGAGTGTGGCTCCAGCGTGGATGTGAGCAGGGACTGGAAATGCCCTTTTACTTCTTGACATGCTATTTCCACAGTGTTTCTTCCTTAGCGTCATGCATCACGTCGTGGACAATGATGACATGCAGTTGCCTGCCTAATAGTGACAAGAATGATCTCTCTAACCCCTTCCAGGCACGAAGTGGTCTCTGGGATGAGTCTGCTAATGATGAAATCATACCGAGGGTCAAGATAAAGCGGTGATCTCTTGGCTGAAGATCTGATTCATGGCTTATGATAAAGTGGGTATTTTACCAGTACAGGCAGAAATCTGCTGGCATTTTGATAAAAATGGAAGCTAAAATTATAGAATGTAACAATTAACTAAATTTCACATTACAAAACTGAATGCCAAAGTGTTTTATGGCTCATCAGTTGGCAACTTTGACCCACTGAACATCAGTGTGTGTGTTTGCACTGAAACGCTAAACACACAGACCCAGGAGAAATACACCATGAGAGTAGAATTTGGAGTTAAAATGGGGATATTGCCCATTGGCCAGCTGTGGGACTTATTGTCCCTGTCAAGACCATTCTCCGTGGATTAAAAGGGTGGATGATATCCATCTGTTGGGGCCTTAAGGGATGTGGTAGAGAACTGCAGGCAGCCAGAGGTGCATGAAATCTGCTACTGTATTTTCCAGGACTGCTGGATACCAGTCCTTGGGTAAAAGAATTTGTACAAAGTTCACTGGTTATGAAATGGATATGACCTGTCAGTTTTCTGTCTCCTCAGGGCAGTGCACTATACTGCCTCTGGATATCAGAGATGCCAGTGCTTACAGCAGCTGGAATTGGACTCGTGAAAATAAAGGTGTGTAACTAGTTAGAGATATAGTAAAGCTGTAACTTTGCTGGTCAAATTGTAACTATCATAATAGTATTTATTGGTGAAGCTCACCGTCCTTCCATTGTACAGATTGAAAAACTTTCTTGAAAGTTCCAACATACTGATATAAATTATATTTATTACAATGTATAATATTAATATGTCACATTGGTGTATTTTACATAATGTATGATGCATAAAAATGAGTTACTGTATATTATGCTTTTCAAATATCAGTATCTTGAAATGTTTTAAGTTTTCAGATTTTTTTAATCTAAAATACGAAAATATGTTTTGTGATACAAGTGATTCATTTTCTCTAGAAATGCTTTTGCACGTTTATCTTTTTATTTAGGGTTCTTCTACATAGACACAGTTTGGTGTCAAACTTTCATTAGGATCAATAGTAAATACAGAATATCTTAGCCAAACTGGATCTGTATTGGCTACATTTTATATACTGTTATAGAAGTGTTTATATTGTCTTTTCAATACATTTGGAATTGTATCCCCAAATACAGTCAGAGCTTCCCATTTCTAAGTGCAAAAGTTTTGTCCTAAATTCAGACAACATCACTTATGTTTTAGAAGTCTGGTGAGATGGGCACTATAGATACAATATTAGCATTTAAGGAAATACTTAAGGGAGATGGAGAGAGAAAGAGACAGTCACTCTGCTCAATTCTGCTTCAGTTTTTATGTTGTGTTTCTTCTTAAGGTGAAATAGCATAATCTTAATTTCTTTGAGATGAAGTTTCTAAGTAACACACTACCAGCAAGTTCAACATTGCTAGTAATTTTAATGTTTTCTCTGTTCATTTGATAACTTTAATTCCAACTTTTACAATAATATCTATATATTATTTGCTGAATCCTGTTACAGTTTTAAAATAAATTCTGTTGTACATTGTATTATACACATTATTCCAAATTAATATGAAGGGGAATATATATTACATATCAAAAAATTGTGAATTTGAGCTCTAGTATGTGTTAGTGCTTTTGCAAAAATGTTTATTTTTATAATATCTGTGATTTTAATATAGGTAATTGAACTAGATTTCTTTGTGATGAATAGTGCCATTGAATGACTGGTATGGAAACAGTGTTACTTGACATTTTGTGCTTTCTCAGGTTTATCTGTATCAATGGTAGCTTAACAGATTCCAGACTAATTGTGCATAATTGTGTTTTAAAAGGAATGTACATTTCCTATAAGTTTGCATGCAGGAGTATACAACTTGGAGTGTGTGTGTGTGTGTCCACAGCATGGCAGCCAGCTTTGTATCTGCTGTTGATAATAACAGCAGAGCTTTGGTATAATCGTGGTCATTAGAATTATACCTATCATAGACAATTAAAACCGGAAGAATCTCAATAAAACTATGAAATGTGGTCTGATGGCTTCTATGTTATTGCAGTGTTAATACTTGCAACTTTCCTCAAATTTTGACCTGTCCTGTTGTGTGTGTGCACACTAAGTCACTTTAGTCATGTCTGACTCTGTGCGACCCCATGGACTGTAGTCCGCCAGGCTCCTCTGTCCATGGGATTCTCCAGGCAAGAACACTGGACTGGGTTGCCTTGCCCTTCTCCAGGGGATCTTCCCGATCCAGGGATTGAACCTGTGTCTCCTGCAGCTCCTGCATTGCAGGTGAATTCTTACCTGGTCAACCAGCGGGGAAGCCCACTGTACTGGCTGGCAAATACTATAGAATGCATTGAATTAGTATAGGCATCTCTTAACAGGCAGCCTGGACTGTAAGAAGTGAAGTGTTAAAGAAAGAATGCTGGTACAAGATAATTGATAAGATCATCATTATTTATTATTAAATTATTAACAGGAACTTGACTTAATTCTTTGAAG